GGTTAAGGAGATCAGGACGCGGGTGCTTGGGGAGGAGCATCCTGACACACTGACCAGCATGAACAACCTGGCCTTGACCTATTGGAATCAAGGGCGATGGAAGGAGGCTGAAGAGCTGGAGGTGCAAGTCCGGGAGATCAGGACGCGGGTGCTTGGGGGGGAGCATCCTGACACACTGACCAGCATGAGCCGACCCAATATGCAACGAAGATACCCACAACTGCAAAGGCATTATATCAGCGTCCATGGACCAAATCTTGTGGCAGAAGATGACTCACAGTTGGCCACGAACACCCAGGAGAAAGTCTCGCCACGAGTGTTGGCATTAGAGATTTCAGCTGACCACTGAGAGAGATCGGAGTCAGTATATGCAAACAAGGAGAAAAACTCAGGAAGGTTTGTCGTACCGTCGGAATGACTGTGATGAAGAAGCCGACTCCAACACCAGCAATAATACGAGAGCAGCACATCTAGGCGAGATTTTGGGCAGCGGTCTATGAGATAAGCTGTGAGCCAAACAATGGAATGTGTAGGTAGGTTGAAGTGGGTGACAACCGACCATAAGTGATCCTCCGACAACAGTCCAAAGACATCCAACAATCATGGCCTTGATGCGACCATATTTGTCTGCGACCTGACCACCCCAAAAGCCTCCTATGATGCCTCCGATGTAGTAGATTGCAACAATACCGCCTTCCTTTGTTGGGTCGAGCACCCCCAGTTTGTTGTCAACGCCCATGAGACGCTAGCATAGTGTCAGTGTTGTCGCCACGCCGAGACTAATAAACTGGGAAGTGTTTTCAGGAACGTACCTGATAGCTGGGTGCGGTGTTGACGAAGCCCATGTTGCCTTGATTGTAACCCTCGAAAAAGTAACCAAACGAGATGAACAAAGACACCATGAAGGTTAGCTGGGCACCAGACATCTTTTCCCAGAATTTTGTGCCCATGATGGGCGGTATTTGGCAATGACCTCTGGATTTGCAAGCCAAAGTATAGGTAGGTAGTCGAGGCTCCGTGAAGCAGACGAGTGAAAAGGTAAGAGTTGTACTGTAGCTCCTGGAAGTACCCCGGAAATTGAGGATTAATGAAGATATAGCAATCAAGGTCTCAATAGATGTACGTTCATCATGACTTTCTTCGCGTCCCCGCAATCAAAGCCGCAAGGAAGTGGGATAGCAGGCTTGTCTACCTATGGTAGAATGTTCGTTCTTGGACGAGATCAAGTTCCCAATTCTGCGGCCGAAGCGCTCCCAATGCAATGCCGTTTAAGCGTTTGAGCGTTTAGGCTCGGGTCATTTGCAATCGAGCCTGAATTGACCAATCACATAAACAGCTTGCGATCCTGTCGATTGACACAGTGGTGTTGCCATCCAGGATGAGCGTGGGGCGATTTACGGAGAACCAACACCGTTGATCCAAGTTCCCCCGGAAACCCCTTTCTGGGCCCCGTGGGGGTCCTCATGCGATTTAAGCCGTGGCAACGGAGAGCTTGGAGCAGTACGGGGAAGTAGTAGATCCAGGGGATAGGAGACGAAATGGATAGGCGGAGGCGGAAGGACGGGGAGGAGGACAGGGATACCTACATAGACCCGAAAGGGACTAGATACCTAGGTAGGTATAGGAAAGTTCTTCTTCTTCTCTGCGAGCTTTTGTAGGACATGCAACAGTATTCCATGCAACAAAGGCAGAAAGGCACAGGTCAAGTATTTTCCAGAAATGCCAAGTAAGCCTCTGCCAACTCCTGCGGCTTCTCAAGCGCAATATTGTGGCCCGAATGGATAACAACACCCTTGACGGTCGTCGCCACTCTCTCCATCTGTCTCCTAGGAACCTCCCCGAAGAAGAAGTCTCCTCCCACAGCGAGAACAGGTATATCCAATTTCGTCCCCATCAATGCCCTGTTGACTTGAGCCCCCCTTTCGCAAGCTCTATACACTTCGCAGATCGTCCTCAGTCCTCCCGGCTGTTCAGTCCATCCGGCGTATTCATCGATATCCTCCTGCGTCAGGGCGGTCGGATCGCGCATCTCACTCCTCATCCACTGCGTCCAGAATACCCGCTCGCGGCCCGTCATCAACATTTCTGGAAAGTCAGGAACATTGAAGAAAACAAGGTGCCACAGCGTCCGAGTGTCCCATAGCTTCAATTCATGCTCCTCTGTCCCACCCTTTGCGTGGAATCCTTCTTCGTAACCTAGGCCGGGGAGGATCATCTCCTGATAAACCAGCGCCACGACGCGCTCCCGGTACGTCGCGGCCAACGTGTACGCATACGCCGCGCCCCAGTCCTCACCGATCACTCGGAACTTCGCGAACCCGACGGCGTCGGCCACGCCGATCAGGTCTGAGGCCATGGTTCCACAGTCGTAGCCGGAAACAGGTCTTTCTGAGTCGCCGTGGCCGCGGAGGTCGACAGCGCAGACGCGATATTTTGGCGTGAGGTGCGGGATCACTTTTCGGAAGGTGAACATTGTCTTGGGAATACCATGAACTGTATGCCTCGTCAGTCAGTCAAGAAGATCGAACATAATATTTATTTTATGCGGCTGGTTTCCCCTTACCAAGCATGACGGCAGGTCCATCTGCTGGGCCGCCGATGCAGTAATGTATATTGACTCCATTCACGAGGGCCTTGTCATGGACGAGACGGTTGCCTATGTGATCTCGTATGTTGTAACTGTGCGACATTATCTTTGTGGGCACGAAGGGAAGACACCAAGGCGTATGGGTGAAGTGAAGTCAAGGTAGGACATCTTCCTCGGTCGTGGCCCAAGAATCCCTGAGCGGTATGTGCGCTCATTTCGGTATGTTGCTCCACTCATTTGTCGTTCTTTCTTTCTCGCAGATCATTACCGTCCAGACCATTCATGAGAAAGGATGCACTTAGTTTAAAAGAATTCAGACTCTCGGGTGCCGTTCGTCCAGCCAATGACAACCTTGACATATTCTCACGCTTAAACGGCTAAACGGTGCGAGGCAAAAGAGCACATC